TCGGGCCGCTCGGCACCAGGGTCAGCCCGGCCCCGCCGTGACGTCATCGGCGAGGCTCAGGCCACATTCCGACCTGGAAAGTATCACCAGGTGGAGCGGCCCGCCGCGCTGTTTGGGGAAGGCAGGTCCCGGCGGCCACGTGACTTATATCGTGGCCCCGCCCCCACCCCAAGTAATTTACATATGCGGCCCTACCCCAGACTAAATGCTTTGCAGGCTCGGCCCCCGCCTTCTCTAGGACCTACGCTAGCCTGGCTCCGCCCTCCTTCCAATGATTTGCATATGCAGTCCCGCCTCTTTAGGACCCTTAGCGAGCCGAGCCCCGCTCCCTAACGATTTACAGGTGCGGCCCTCACGCTCTTTCTCCCTTCAGCGCCTGGCCCCGCCCCCAGTCCAATGCTTTAACGCTGCAGCCCCGCCCTCTCTGGGCCCCGCGATGAGCCTGGCTCTGCTCCCTGCCTAATGATGTTCACGTGCTGCCATATACCTCTGGGTCCTCGTTGGGCCGCGCCCTCTGCCGGACAACCCGATGCCTGCAGTTTCAGACTGAACTTCGTATCTCGGACGCCACTGTCGCTCTCGGTCTGACATCTCTGGGACGTCCCTTCTCCACGGGGTCCACCCCTCTTCCTGGCCATTTTCCTGTGCAGCCACTCCTGGGGTTAAAGGCAGCTCGCCTGAGTGGGTTCCACTGGAGACGCGGAGTTCCCTGGGCCACGACCCTCGCCCGGGGCCCGGACCGCGTTCGGCAGGCGGCTGCGCGCAGCTAACACTGACGGTGAAGCAGGCTGTGGGAGCGGCCAGGTCCGGACCCCGCCCCTGGGAGGGGCACCACCTAGCCAGGTCCCTGGCTCTTAGTGGGGCCTCATCCCCTTACGCTAGACCAGTCCTTCGACCTCCACCTGGTTGGGGCCACAACTCTAGGTGACACACCTAGCTCTTAAAGGCGCCGGGACCCCATCACCCCCTCCCTGTCCCCTCTTCCCACGTGCAAAGCGAGCAGACAAAACCAGGGGCACAGACTTTGTCGGTTTATGTATAAAGAAGTGGGGCGCTGGACGGTAAGGGCGCAGGGAACGCGGGTGCCTACAAGCCGATGACGTCGTCCAGCTCGAGGTCCGCGTTGGGGCAGCAGCGGGCCCTGGGGTGCTGCGCCCCGGAGCCGGGGTCCACGTCAGGTTTGGCGGCAGCGGCGCCCGGGCGTTCCGCGTCCATGACGCCCAACACCGCGTCCAGCATGGAGGGGCCCAAATCCAGGTGGAAGGACAGCAGCGGGTCGGCGGGAGCGGGCGCGCGCAGGGCGGGCGGCGGGGGCTGCGGCACCGCGGGCGGCGGCGCGGAGCGCGGGGCCCCCGCGGGCAGCGCTCGGGGCTCGGGGGGCGGCCCGCCGCCGTGGCGGCTCAGGAACGACGTGTCCCCAAAGGCGTCGCCGCCGCGCCCCACGTGCAGCGTGTGCCGGAAGTCTCCGAGCGGCGCGGAGATGGACAGGGCGCCGCGCTCCGGCCGTTTCTTGGGCTGCGCGGGGCCCAGCTGCTTCAGCACCGGCATCTGCGGGATAGGGACGAGTCAGCTCGGCCTTCCGTGTTCCCTCCTCCCAGCTCTGGGCCTAGACCGCCATCCAAAGGATGCTCTCCATAAAATGATGGTGGTGGGATTACTCCCATTTTACAGGTGGGGAGACTGAGATTCCCTGAGGCCTGAGGTCATAGCTGTTTGATTCAAACCTCAGACTCAACCTGAGGTCTGCCCATAACCACCACGCTATCCTCATTCCATTAAGAACTAACGTTTGAGCTCCCCGTAGGCCAGCAAGCGAGCAAACAACATGCTCTACCAAGCCTTCGGACGGCTACCCAAACCTGACAGAAACTCCAGCTTGTCCATCCCGTCCACCCTGAAGACAGGGGTGACCCTGTCCTTTGGGTGCAGCAGGCAGTGCCCAGGGGCCGCCACACTGCTAGAGGCCGGCACAAATGCTTAAGTGTTTTCTTTTACAAAGTCAGCCTTATGCTTGTCTTTATACCAACGCAGTCATAAAATACAATTATATTAAACATGTTATTTCTATGAAATTTTTGCCTAGGACACAAAAAGTCATAGTGTAAGCTGGCCTGAAGATTCTCATTTGGGAGGTTTAGGGTGGACCTGAGAAATCTAGATTTGCACAGCATTTTATAATTTGAATTATCTGGTTTTGAAAGAAACAACATAATGGTTTACTTTTTGGAAAATGACAGCAACAGTAATAACCATGCAAATTCCCCTTTGTTAAAACATGACGAAAATGACGTAAATCCCAAGCTGGTGACACACGAACGTGAACTAGGTACCCTATAGCCACGTGACTGCACCACACGATGGTAAATAGATGTACCTGCCAACCTTTGCTCATATCCTGGAACCTGGCTGTTTCTATGGAACTTCTGGGAGGGACTTCAGTGACCTTGTACTTTTGTTTTAACAGTCACTGTTACTACAATAATAATGAAAAAAACTTCTATTTGAATTGCAGCCCCACCTTCTGCCAGCTGTATGAATTGGGATAAATTATGTGATCTCTCTGTTTGTTTTCTATCTGTAAAATGGATAAAATAATACTACCTTCCTTGCAGGGCACATAGGAAAACCCCATCAAAGGAAAGTATATTTGTAACGGTGCCCTCTACTCTCTCTCTCTCTCTCTCACACACACACACACACACACACACACACACGCATACGCACAAGCTCGTTTTCTAGGAAAACCAGTCTTGATTTACCACCTCTGTAGAGTTTCTCAAAATTCTCTGACCTCAACTTAGCTGAATAAATATATTTTTCTTACAGTCTGGCGTACAACCACCATTCCTTCCCCACTTGCACCCTGCCCCCTACATAAAAGAAACAAAAAATTTATGAAATGAGACTTTTATCACATGCTAGGCACTCAGGTATATTCAATTCTAATCTATGTTATTATTTTACTTTTTAATGCCAACCTCTCCTCATTAATGAATCTCAATCCATGCTTTACAAAAAAAAATCCTGTCTCAGGGCTAGCAGTGCCCATTTTTACTCAGCACTGGATTATAGGTGAAAAGGTTAGAACTCAGAAAGCCAACAGCCCAGATTTGGATCTGGCTGTGCCCATTGCTGTGTGGCTTTGGGCAAATTACTTAACCTTCCTGAGCTCATTTCCTCATCTCAAAAATGGAATGGTACTCATATAATACTTTGTAGTCTCTTTGCAAGAATTGGTGAGACATTGCCCGTGAAAGGTCTTCGCACAGTACCCAGCACATGCTCAACAGATGCTCAGTGGAGTCCCATCCTGGATTATTCTCCCCTGTCCCAGAGAAAGAGACACCCAGAGAGGATCTGTGAGTTGCCCAAGGCCACAAAGCCAGCTCTGCAAGACTCCAGAGCTCAGAGTGATTGCTGCCACTGCCTGCTGCCCTTGAACCTGCCCCTCCCCGGACAGCTCTCAGCTACTCTCTTCCCCCCTCCCTGCCCCCAGCTTGCCCCCATCCGGGCCTATTGCCCTACAAGGTGACATCACCCCCACTTTCCAGCACTTAGCAGCATCTTAAGATCTTGGGTTTCTGACCTCAGACACACCTGGGCTGCTATTTCCTTTCTGTGGGCCCCTGAGGACCTCAACCATAAACTTCAGTTTACTCCTCTGAAAAACAGGAATCAGAAAGCCTGTTTCCAAGGGGTTGATATAGAGTATACACACGATGTGACATTTTATATCCCAAGCACTTATTCTGGGCCAGGCAGGGGCTTCACACAAATGAACAAACTCATTCAATCTTGAGAACAACCCAGTGAGGGGAGGCCATTATTATTACACCCATTTTACACATGTGGTGCCTGAGGCACAGAGAGGTCAAGTAACTTGCCCTGGGTCACACAGTAGCAAATGTTGGTGGCCAGATTTGGAACCCAGGCAGATGAACTCCGGAGTCAAAGGATGCTATTATATTGCTCACAGCCCCCATAGGACAGGGCGTGCGGACCCATGGAAAAAATAATGTTTTGCTATAAAGCCCAGGGATTTCCAACACCCCTGACCGTGTTTGTTTGCTTGTTTTGCTCTGCTTTTATCTATTCCAGATGAGAACGATGAGTTCAAAATTGTTTTTGAAAGCCACTGCTTCTCCTCACTAACTCTGACACCTCGGGGCAAGTCACTCCATTTCCCCCAGCCTCGGTGTCCTCTTATACACAAGGCTCCAGTCTCCCTTGTTGGGCCCTTGATGCAGTGAGGTCATGCTCGGAAAAAGTCCATCACAGGGCCAAGTCCACACAGAGGGACTGTTGTTTGTGACAAACACAAAGCAGGCAGAGGGCAGGAGTGAGCATGAGACCCCGGGACGCGGTGACCTCGCGCTCGGCTAAGCGGCCCTCCTCCTGCCTCCATCTGCCCCCTCTCTTTCCTGCCGAGGCTCCAGCTGCAGGGGTGGGGGGCACAGCTGGCTCACCTCTGTCCTCCGGGGGCCCCAGCCCTGCCAAGACGGAAAAAACAACCCGCTTCAGATCCAGCTCGACTGGTTCTCAGCCCTTTGGGAGAGGCTTCGCGGTGGGTGGGGCCCAGGCGGGGCAGGGGGACCCGGGGGCCCGGGAGTCGGAGACCCCTGGACCCCTTTGAGACTCTGCTGCGCGCTTCCTGAGGCCACGTGGCTGCGGCCCGGGTTTCAGGGTCTGCTGTCTCTTTGGTCCTCTGTCCTGCTTCCCTCCGGACTTGTCCTGGGACCCTGGGCCACCACTGTCCCTTACCTCGTGGTCCTCGCTAGCCCCGGCAGGCGCGCTCTCTGGGGCTCCAGCTCAAGCTGGGACAACCCCGTCTTCAGGGTTGGGAGCCTGCCTCCGCCTCCGACTCCCAGGCCCTCACCTTCTTCCTTCTTCCTCCGGGCGGGATCTTACCTGGCAAAGGAAGTGTCATGTGGAACCTCGAGGGGGACCCAGGACCCAGGACCCAGGCGTCTGCGTCCACAGTGCCACCTTCTCAGCCTTCCTCCTCTCTTAGGCTCCAGGAGTCCTGGCTCCTACCTCTCTTACTTCTTAGCCCCGGAAGGCCGGGGTCTCTGTCCTCTCCTCCCGTGGACCGAGGAGTCCAGACCCCTAGTCCTCCTCCCTCAGCCTCTGAAGTCAGGGCTCCCAACCCCCACCTCCCTCGGACCCAGAAATCCAGGCCTCCACCCCTCCCCCCAGGCCCTGGAGTCTGAGTCCCACCCCCAGCAGACCTTGGCATCAGGTCCCTTCTTTACCTGCTCTGGGAACTGAAGTGTCAGCCCCTCTTGGGGGCCATGGTAGGAGCCCAAACAGGCGCAGAGTCGCCACCCAGCCCAGCTCAGTCCGTCTGGGGCAGAGAGGGTTAAGGCGTAAGCCCCTCCCAGCCTTCCTTATCTCACCCCTACCTCCAAAAAAAAGTTTGCCTCCAGGATTTAAGGGACTAGAAAGCAGCGGTGGAGGAGCTGAGGCCCCTCTGGGCTGAGTGCGGGGGCGGCGGGGCCGGACCGGGATGCAGGCAGGCCGCACGCACGGGGCTGGGGGATGGAGGGCAGGGCGGCCCCTAGCCCCGCCCCTCCCCCTGCCAGCTTGGAATTTCCTGAAACTGGGGAAGTCTGGCTGTTTAGGAGAGTAATTTCTTCCAGATTGCAGCTGTTGGGGGAGTGTGTGTGAGGATTGAGGGGGGAGAGAGAGAGAGAGAGAGAGAGAGAGAGGAGGGCGGGGCGGGGGGACGAAACCGACCGAGGTCGGCGAGTAGAAACCGAGACGAGGACGGCCGGAGGTGACCGTAGGAGGCGCCTCCCACCGTGCGTGGTAGG